CTGCAAGGACCTGCTGAGAGAATGCTTCCACCTGTGAGTCATGCTGATGGTGTCAGAGCTGGTGGATGCACCATGCTCACAGCTAGCCAGCTGTGAAGAAAAGTAACAAGGGCAGTCATCCCAGGAGATACTGAGCCCTAATCTGAGTCAACACCAAAGTCTCAGTTCAGACAATGATGATGTGCCTAAACAGTAAGCACTTTACTTCAGAGCACTGACCTCCCAGGAGAGAGTTACTATCCCCATAGCCCAGTGACAAGCTGGCATGGGAATTTGCCAGCAAGACCAGGAGTCAGGGGCAGGGGAAAGGAGGGGAAGAGAGGAGGATGAAGCAGCTCAGCTTCCTACTATGTCCAGCACTCACCAGGTCTGGCACTAGCAGTGTCCTGCAGAGAGAGAACTTGTACCCCTGCACACTGGAGGAAAATTTTGGGGGTGATTTTGGGGAGGTATGTGAGAGCAGCAGAGGCCACTTGCCAGAGAGTGCTACTGGGTACCCCTCTGCTTCCTCCCTGCTGACAGGTTCCCATGAAGAGGATCGGTCTCCTCCATATCACCACGCTTGACTAAGAGCAGATGGTGCCTGAATACAAGCATGACCCTGTTTCATGTGCAGCATGGCTGTGTGTGTCCATGACTCCAGCCTCCTTCACGGTGGCTTGTCATGGGAAGGTGTCCCACCACGGAGTCTGGAGTAAGGCAGGCCTGTGCAGGAACCTTCTGAGAAGGAGTGAAGTTCCTGTATGAAAGCGTCATGTGGCTGTGTGCTTTGGACTGGCATTTCGTGTGCACAGGCTGTATAGGGAAAGTGATAGAACTCACCTGAAGAGCCTTCATTGGGATTATGCAAGCCCTGGGAGATATCCCCATAGCCCAGGAACAAGCAGGAACGGGAATTTGCCAGCCAGAGCAGGAATCTGTGTGTGTGGTGGGGGGGGGGAGAGGAGAGGAGAAAACGAGGCAGCTAAGCATGCTCCTCCTTGACCCCGCCCTCATGGAGGCTGATGCTGGGCATGTCCTGGCCAGAGTCAATGACAATGGAGCAGGGGGAAGTGACCACTGCCCCACCCAGGATGGCATCCAGCTTCTCATAAAAGCAGCAGGTGTTCAGTGCTGCCCCAGAGCAGGAACTTTGCTCTGCAGTCTTGGTGTAGGACTGCTAGAGTTCCTTGATTTTCATCTGCATCTGATCCAGGGTCCTACTGTGCCCCTTTTGGGCCAGGCTGGGTGTGGAGATCCTGGATATTTGTCTCCTCCCCTCAGACCTCAGTGAGATCCAGAATCTCTGCACCAGTGCAAGCCGGTGTCCTCTTATGCCTCAGGTCACTCAGAGAAAAATATTTTCTGTATAGAAGTTCAATAAGAGGCTTGGATGTGATTAATTGATTTAATCAAACTATACTTTACCTAGCTTTAAATCAGACCCTCTCATTACAAATAAGTTTAAGATCCTGATTAGAGCAGGGGTGGGCAATAATTTTTAGTAGGAGGCCACTTCAATGTTTTGGTAAATGGTCAAGGGCTGCACTTTTCTGCGCAGGGAGTGCAGGGTCTAGGTTTTAGGTTGGGAGCAGAAGGGTGCATGGAGTAAGGGACGGGTGTGCAGGAGACAGTCTGGGATCTGAGAGTGTGTTTGGTTGGAAGAGGGGGTTATGACCTGGGTCAAGGGATTGGGGTATAGGGTCAGCGTGGGAGTATAGGTGCAGGACAGGGTTCTGGCCTGGGGGAGGAATGTAGAAGGGGGTATAAGATCTGTGAGGGAGTTGTCACCTGGGTTAGGGGGTGTAGAGGGTTTGGATGGTGATCTGGGGGAGGGAGTTGGGGCACAGAAGGGGTCGGGGTGCCAGAGGCAGGCTCTGGTTAGGAGTTTACCTAAGTGTCTCCTGGCCAGCAGGCTGCAGTGCAGGCAAGGGCAGGTGGGGGGCCAGCAGGCTGCAGTACAGCCAAGGCAGGCTGGGCTCCCTGCCTGTTACAGCCCAGCCTGCTTGAAAATGTAGACTGCTCCCTCCACGTGGCTCTCAGCTCCTGGTGGGGGAAGCTGCACCAGTCTTAGGCCAATCTTTCATCTCCGATTCCAGTCAAATCGGAGCTAAGAGATTGGCTGAGGTCAGTTCTTATTGGCTGGTTGTTTCCGGCCAATAGGAACTGATGATTGGGCTGGGGGCAAGGAGACAGCCCAGCCTGCTTGAAAATGTAGACTGCTCCCTCCACGTGGCTCTCAGCTCCTGGTGGGGGAAGCTGCACCAGTCTTAGGCCAATCTTTCATCTCCGATTCCAGTCAAATCGGAGCTAAGAGATTGGCTGAGGTCAGTTCTTATTGGCTGGTTGTTTCCGGCCAATAGGAACTGATGATTGGGCTGGGGGCAAGGAGATTGCACAAAGCCTGCCCCTCCCTACAGAGCAGAGAGCTGCAGGGACTGTGTTTTAATCCGCGTTTGAGGGTCCTGGCAGGGTGGTCTGTGGGTTGGATCTGGTGGCTTGGCGGGCTGCATCTGGCCCCGGGCCATATTTTGCCCAGCACTGGATTAGAGTGTCCTACAGATTTATATGCTAACTTGATGTAGTACACAAGCATATTTGCTTTCTGACCTCAATCTGTTACTTGGCAGGATACTGAAGTTCATGTCACAGGAGTATCTGCTTTAAGAATTGAATGTTTTAAATAAGGAAATAGACAATCTTAAAACTGGAGCTCTGCAACAGATAAAACATTCATAAATCCAGTCTTGCTAAGATTTAGCCATTTAGGATCAGTTCCTCAGCTGGTGTAAATCAGAGCTCCAATAAAGTCAAAAAAGGAGATTTGGTTCATAGTTCAAGCCTTGCAGATATTCTGGGGAAAAAAAAAAGTTTAAAACCAGCCACCTAATGTTGTGAGAGAGTTGTTGGGGAAGCCAAACATTTAAGGTATCTTAATTTATCCAATGCAAGTCCAACAGCTTGTTAGTATTCCAAGATAAATATTTATTGAAAAGCTAGTGCAAAATGGAAAGCCAATTATTTAAGAGATCTTGTTTGTGCAAGTGTTTATCTGGCAAGGACAATATAAACCCTGTCCATTCACACCTACTTACTCCTTATTATAAACCAACTTTCCAATAGCTGGCAAGGGTGTGTCTGGTACTAAAACTATTCTCAGAAAAGTGAAGTGTACTGGAAGCCTACTAACAACTGTAACAAGTACATTTAAATTGCTCCTCGCTTGATTCAAGATGCAATACCATGAGGGCCTAAAAGATTGTTTGTCTGAATGGACTGTCTGAATGGACTTGTTCAATAACAGTAGGAATAACCAGATTTAGATGCATATAACAGATTAAATGTGACTTTAAAAAAAACCTTGTTCTCTCCTAATAGAGAATTAAGAATACTTCTTTTAGCACAGACAAAGGCTACAATGAGTATTATAAACTTTAATTGCTTGAGGAATACTTAGTCATTGAGAATTCATAGCTATATGTTCAGTCTCTTATTTAACCCAATACATACTCACTTCCAAAATGATAGTCATTCCTTTGTATAGCTTTGATACAGTGAAACAGCAAGAGAGCATTTAAATTGCAAGCATACTTCACACAAAAGTTACTGTAAGCTTTCCTCCCTTCCCCCTTCCATTCCTCAGTAATTAAAACTGGACACCACAGACGATTAGTATGAACGGTTCGAGGTCACAGAACCATGAAGACTACTACTTAAAATGTCACACAATACGAGTCTGAAATATCTGAACCAAATCTACCATATAAGTCATCTTCTGCCTCATGTTTGTCAGTGTATAGTCAACTATAATTAGCTACTAAAATGATGAATGGCAGGCCGGTAAAACTAGCAGCAATTCTTTGACAGTAGTCTCAAGGAAGTACAGTATTAAAGCTGGCACTTTCTTCTAATCAAAAGCACTAATAAAAATAAAGAATGTTTAATGGTCAAGGACATTTGTATCAGCATCAAAAGCTCCTTGTGTAATGCAACATAACAATTGTATCTTATTTCAGAAATTCTAACTTCAGATTACTACAAAAGGCTAATGATCACCTTAAACTGCTGGCACAGGACTGAAAATCATATCATAGCCTATCCAGACACGACCGTATATTTCCACTGTTAAATGGCAATTCTGTTGCTGACAGTTTTCCTGGGCTCAATATAAAATTCAACCATGAAACAAGACACATGCAAAGTTTCAAAATAAAGCAAGGAAGTATAAATCTTCCTTTCCAAGTAGAAAGGTTTCTCTCTCTACAAGAGAGGGCTTATTAATTAAAAACACATTTCAGTCAGCTACAACAATCCACACCACCAGTCTGGAACACATACACTTGAATTAAGTTATTGTGACACCACTCTAAAATATATAACAATGCCATTGCAAGCAAACCGCATTATTTCAAGACAAAAGGCATACCACTCTCAAACTAAATTTAAAGAGAGAGAAGGGAAACAGCTAAAACACCACATAACTCTCATATTAATATGACTACTGGAAAACTGCAAGCCAGTACCCTCAGAGCCAGAGCATAATTTTGCATCTAATGGAGGGAGGGGAGAAGAAATGAGCAAAATGCTGTGGGGATAGGGGTAGGAGGTGGCAGCATTTCTAATATAAAAAAAGCCTTTTAGGTCTGCAGAGCTATATTTCACAGAGACACACAGATCAACCCTATTGCATATAAGGGGGAAAGGATTTTAATTGGCACCTCTGGTGTGCAGACAGAAGCTACCCCAGTCTGATAGAGCTACAATTTCATAGCAACAATAACACACATTTATGCTTGGGAGCGAGAACCTCTAAACTGAAGCCAGAGAAGGATGGATAGCAAAAGGCATGGAGAGAACAGAAAAGCAGCAGCATCAGGGCCTTGAGGAGCTGTCAATCCTCAAACTCTCCCTCCCTAGCAACCCAGACATTGCAAGCAAAGCCCCAGCCAAACTGCCCCCGAGCCAGGCCCCACAGTTACCCATTCTTTTACCTCCTACAGTGAGAAGCCCACTTTACTTACGTGAAAACGAAAAATAAAGTAGTCGAACCCACTAATAAAGCAGCTGCTGTAGCGACAGGGACATATTTAGTAGGTTTAAATCTCTTTCCAGTGCTGCTGGGCATCCTGTAGTTTACACATCACTATGTATTCCAATCCAAGAGGCACCAGGGAGGGAGGGAAAGAAGGGAGAGAGAAAGAAAGATGCAAAGACCCTCCAATGCAGAGGCAAGGCAGGGAGGGGAGGGGGGAAAGAAGGGACTAGACAGAAAGAAAGGGAGTGAGAAAGAGGGATTGAAAACAGCTGACCTCCAGCACAGGAAATCCCACCCACACAGGCCAGCCCACTCAGCTGATGTCAGTGAGCCCCTTAAGGTAGAACTGTACTGAAACAGAGAACACTCACCCCAAGCTGAATAAAAAAGACATACAAGACCAAAGATACTTAGCATGCGCGCGCGCACACACACTCACAGCTGCAGTTCAAATAAAAAGACAATACAATGTACAAGAGTTATGATACAGACAAGCCACAAACACATTATGGGCAGATACGAACAGGCAGATAAACAGAATAAAATAGCACACTCCCCTCCTCCCCCAATTCTTTCCACACTCATCCCTCATATTGATAGTTGTTCTATAGAATATTTAAAACCACCCTTTAGAATTCAGTAGATACCTATATCTATCAGGAATAATAGGCTTTGAACCAACCATGTGGAAAGAATGGATTTAACTATTTCCTAATGGCTTACGTTCTATGGGACTTTTACGTGACATTCAAAAGCTAAAGTTATTTGGTTACCAAGCTGTACAACTCAATCCAGACCTTCACATCAAATACAATGGCCTCTGAACTGTGAGCTGCTGCTTATGGACAAGCTTCTGCAAAAGCCCCAAGAAACTCTGCAGGGCTCTGTATACAAGGTGTCCTTCTGCACCAAACAGCTTGCATGATTAGGACCTGTAATGAAGAATAACAGCACTACAAGCCCAAGTTTGATATATAGGCAGTCCCTGGGTTACAGGGATCCGACTTACATCAGATCCCTACTTACAAACGGGGTGAGGCAACCCCGCACTAGCTGCTTCCCCCCAGCAGACCAGGGAGACGCGGAGCGGCTTTTCTCAGCAGACACCTCAGCTTGAGAATAAAGGACTGAGGGAAGTGAGGTGTGGGAGAATAAAACTGAGCTCTGGAGAAATGTTTGGCTAGAGTTTCCCCTATAATATGTACCAGTTGCGACTTACATACAAATTCAACTTAAGAACAAACCTACAGTCCCTATCTTGTACGTAACCCGGGGACTGCCTATACTATTAAGTCAGGAACCATAATCACTGGTATTTAAATAACAGCTGGGATCCTCTAAGTATTTGGGAGTCTTGGGGTCTTTTGCATGAATAATTTAATTAATCCAGAATTGTGGTGTTCACTCTTCTGTTGTTTAAAAGGCATTTCATTCAGTCCAGTCAGTGGCAGAAATAATATGTGATTTAAGAATGACAGAGTGGAAAATTTGCCACACGGTTCTGTGTAAAGCAGGGGTAGGGGATAGGGATGTTAACTATTGATTATTTTACTAGTCAAGTAGTTGATGGAATTTCCATCAGCTACTGGATGTACATTTCAAAGGAGGAACGCAGAACTCCGCGTGCAGCCCGGGGCCAACGGGAAGTCCCACTGACTATGGGCTACATGCAGTGTGCCAGCTTTGCAATGTATAAGAGTCCCCAGCAGGGACTCGTGTGCATTTCAAAGCGGCAGCAGTATGGAGCCTGGGGTCAGCATGGAGCAACATGACGCCGGGCTCTATGCCATGCTGCTGATTTGAAATGCCATGTGGACTCCCCAGCTGACCATGGTTTCGCACCGTATTTCAGTGGAACCCAGGATCAGGTGGGGAGTCTCCAGCTGACTCCGGGCTCCACGCAGGGCAGGGTTGAACAGTTGATCCCAGGCTCAGATGTGCGGCACTGCCCCTTTGAATGCCACCTTGGCATTTCAAAGGGGCCGCCGCACAGCTGATGCCCAGCTCTGCTGTGAGGCTCTGTCCCTTTCAAACGCTGAGGCAGCGTTTCTTAAGGGCAGCACTGCACAACTGATCCCCAGCTCAGCTGTGCAGTGCTGCTCTTTTAAAGCACCCTTTTTCTCCTTCCTTTTCTGTCTCTGATGGAGGAAGCAAGGGGGGGGGGGGGAGGGGGGAAATCTACTAGTCAACTGACTATCCGATAAGCGTTTGCTTATCCGATAGTCAACTAGTCTTTAACATCCCCAGTGGGGAATCTTTTTTGGGGCCAGAACAATTGACCCACAGAAAAAAGAATTCAGTAGGAGGCAGCACAAGTGAAAAACAACAACAAAAATCCCAAAAGACAAAAAAGCCGCACCAAAACAACCCTCACTGACATGGCCCCTGACTCAGGAGAAAGACACTCTCTACATTCCCCTCACACAGTAGATCCTAGTGGGTCCCAGCCTAGATTCTCCAGCTCCCCACCTGATCCTGGGTTCCACTGAAATGCGGTGTGAAACCATGGTGGGGGTGGGAGGAGCCTAGAGTGCCAGTGCAGGCTCCCCAATAGGGTTGCCAGATGTTTTCAACAAAAATACCAGACACACTTGACATTATATTACAATCTATATTACATCTTATTTAGAAAACATCGGACATTTCTATTTTCTCATTTATATTTTCTCAATTTGTTTCCCGAATAGAAAGCTCAAATACTGGACTGTCTGGTTCAAAACCAGACACCTGGCAACCCTACCCAATGCTGGGGCAAGAGAAAGTCGTGAGCCTCATGAGCCAGATCCAGCCAAAGTGGGGGCCTCAATCAGCTCCTGGGCCTGAAGTTCCCCACCCCTGGTGTAAAGAATGTAGCTGTGAGCAGCTCCCGCTGGTTCCTATTAGGAAGGGTTCAAGCACACAATATGTCGTAACATAGGGAGAAGTGTTCTCTGTTAGACAAGTGCAAGACCTTTTAGGATTTTATAAATCAAAAATAAGTATCTGAAGCCTTGTTTACATTGAATATTTGCCTGCATTCCAGCCATCAATGATCAACTAAAGTTATAGCTACACGAATTCATATATTTAGTATAGACCACAACATGTAATTGTAAAGCTTACCTTGCTTCCACCAGGAGTAAACCGCAGCACTAATAGCCTTCTCTTGTCTACCTAGACAAATTGGGGGATTGGACCAAAAGAAATCTGATGAGGTTCAACAAGGACAAGTGTCGAGTCCTGCACTTGGGAGGGAAAAATCCCAAGCAGTGTTACAGGCTGGAGACTAAGTAGTAGTTCAGCAGAAAAGGACCCAGGGATAACTGTTGATTGATATCCAGCTTCTCATCCACTGTGTGCCCTTGTAGCCAAGAAGGATAACAATATATTGGGGTGCATTAAGAGGAGCATTGCCAGCAGATCTAGGGAAGTTATTATTCCCCTGGATTTGACACTAGTGGGGTCACATCTGGAGTACTGCATCCAGTTCTGGGCCCCCCCCCCCACTAGAGAAAGTATGTGGATACATTGGAGGGGGTCCAGCGGAGGGCAACCAATAATTAGAGTGCTGGAGCACATGGCCTTTGAGGAGGGGCTGATATTTAATCTGCAGATGTGAAGAGTGAGGGGGGAATTTGATAGCAGCCTTCAATTCCCTGAAGGGAGGTTCCAAAGAGGATGGAGAAAGACTGTTCTCAGTAGGGACAGATGGCAGAACAAGGAGCAATGGTCTCAAGTTACAATGGGGGGAGGTCTAGGTTGGATATTAGGAAAAACTATTTCACTAGCAGGGTGGTGAAGCACTGGAATGGGTTAGCTAGGGAGGTGGTGGAATCTCCATCCCTAGAGGTTTTTAAGTCTCAGCTTGACAAAGCCCTGGTTGGGATGATTTAGTTGGGATTGTTCCTGCTTTGGGCAGGGGGCTGGACTTGATGACTTCCTGAGGTCTCTTCCAGCCCTAGGATTCTATGATTCTACATAAGGCTACGTCTACACTGCAGGCTTTGTGCAAGAACAGCTGTTCTTTCGCAAAAACTTGGAGCGTCTACACTGCACGCATGTTCTTGAGCAAGTAAATTTACGGTAGAGCATCAGAAGAGAGGGCTTCTTGTGTAAGAGTTATTCCTCTCCATGAGGAGCAAGAGCTCTTGCACAAGAAGGCAGTGTGGACAGGAACAGGGGTTTCTAGTGCAAGAAATCCCTATGGCTAAAAGGCCATCAGAGCTTTCTTGCACAAGTGTCCACATTGCCATGGACGCTCTTGCACAAAAAGCACATCAGTGTGGATGCGCTCTTATGTAACAACTTTTGTGCATGAACTCTTGCACAAAAAGTTCTTGCGCCATAAGCCTGCAGTGTAGACATAGGCCAAGTTAGCACCAGTGCAGCTATACTGGCAGATATAAAACAGTCCAATTTTAGTCAGGGTAAATGTTAATATTGCCCATTGTAAAGGGTAAATACATGCCTGATTTCCCAGTAAACTGAAGAGCAGATTCCTATTTTTTAAACAACAGCTTGCTTTTTAATTGCAAATAAGGTGCAACAACTTAAATGTACTCTACAATATTCACCCGCCCTCCAAGAATACATGAACTGAAGCTCTTTCTTGAGTATAAGCTTGTCCCCAAGCTTTGCTTTGGCTGAACTAGTAATCCTTCCTTTTTCTAGAGAGCAGAGATGAGTGAAAGAAATTTAATGACCCAAAAAACATCTATTACCCTTAACATCACTATGGTTTTTCAAAATTTACCACCCTCCCTTTCAGAACTAGACCAATGTGATCCAATAGGATTTAGATGGAGCATATGTGCATGGGATTGCATACCTTTCAGTGTCACATTTTAGTTGTATAAAAGAAAGCTGTTAAGCAACATGCTTGTTAGCTATGCAGCACTCAAAGCTCATGGTAATCCTAGGACTAATAGACAAGGACAAAGAATTAAGACAACTGACTGGCAGCATAAAGCATTACCACCCAAAGCCTCTATTTCAGTGGTCCCCAATCTCTTGGGGCTGCCAGGTGCCCGGGGGCAGGGCTGTGCATGCGCAGCATGGCCGGGGTGCAAGAATGGCTTGGGCCAGCCC